TTAATCTTTGGTCGGAAAAATTGCTCAAAACCATAGGAGATCAGTGTGGGGGATGGATTGAAACGGAGGAGGAAACAATGCTCAAAAACCACCTCCGATGGGCTAGGATAAAAGTGATGGGGGATGGGAGTAAGGTTCCAAGGGAGATACTTCTAGAAAGTGATGGCTATTTGTTCAAAATTCCCATCTGGTGTGAGTTACCGGCGACGGTGGTGGTGGCGCTTTCGATGGAAGAAGAAGATGAAGACAATAGTCTATTGGGTAATAGAGGAAGTCAATGTCCTTCGGTTAATAGTGGAGACCTACTGGAAAAGGGGTTCAAATTGGCGGCTAATCAGGAAGGTCACGTGGGCTCATCGAAAGGAGGGGAGGGTTGTAAAATTAGGGCACGTGTGACCTAATACCCAGGCCAGCAATGGAAATTTTGGGCCCCAAACAATCTGTTAGTTTGGGCCCAAGACAGGCATACCCTTCTCTTAAGTTATGTTGCAAAGGCCCAAACCAGTTAGCCCATTATGAAATAACTAAAGACCCATTTCTTATAGAGATCCAAGCCATCTCAACTAAAGAAAAGAAAACAGACGTGGTAATAGAGAAACACTCTATCGACAATCACGAAGGAATTGAAAAGGCAGAACCTTCGACCAAGGCAGCCAGTGACAGTGCCATGGTTCTCATCAACGAAATGGAACAACCAGTGACAGACGATCAAGACAATTCAGACATGCAGATTGGGGAGGGGAATTTCTCGGGGGATTGGGGCATAGAAGGTGTTCCTCCTTTAAACTCTCTAATCAATGAAGAAGAGGAGGACCCGGAGTTTAACGCTCCAATTTGGGTGCATCAGAATATTATCAGATTGAGCAAAGAATTTGGGATGGAATTCGAAGGGTGTGAGAAGGAAGCTTTCCAGTTATTTATGAAAATAGATGGCAAGAGGCGCAATGCATTAGTCTTCATCATCAACAAAGCCCCGGGTCCAGATGGATATACCATGGCTTTCTATACTCAAAGTGATAGGCTCAGATGTGATTGCTGCTGTCCAAAACTTCCATGCAAATGGGACCATTGAAAAGAGCTTCAATGCCACTTTGGTGGCTTTGATTCCAAAGAAGGTGGGAGATAAAGAACTGAAAGACTTCAGGCCCATTAGCCTGATAGGAAGTTTCTACAAAATAATTTCAAAGATCATGGCAGAAAGAATCAAAAAAAGTCATTGGCAAATTGGTGGACACTCAACAGATGGCCTTTATCAAAGGTAGGCAAATCATGGATGCTATCCTAATTGCAAACGAGTGTGTTGATGTTAGAATGAAGAGCAAGGAACCTGGCATTCTGTGTAAGCTAGACATAGAAAAGGCTTATGACCATCTGCATTGGGATTTCTTGCTGGGAGTATTAATAAAGATGGGCTTTGATGAGAGATGGATCAGGTGGATTAAGTTTTGCATCAACACTGTTAAATTCTCAATTCTGATAAATGGTTCTCCAGCTGGTTTTTTCTCTTTACAGAGAGGTCTGAGGCAGGGGGATCTTATATCCCCTTTTTTATTTATTCTGGCAATGGAAGGTTTAAACAGCATGTTTAAATCTGCCAAAGCTAACAATAAGATTAGGGGTTTCAGGGTAAATTATAGAGATCCAGTGTCAGTGGAGGTTACTCACCTGCATATACTTTGGTGTTTTGTGATGCTGATAGAGACCAGGTGCTTATTTTGAGAGTGATATTCATCTTTTTTGAAGCTATTTCTGGATTACGCATTAACTGGAATAAGAGCTTCATCTATCCAGTTAATGAAGTAATGGAGATTCATAGCTTGGTGAATATTCTGGGAGGAAGAGTAGGAACCTTGCCAACAGCCTATCTTGGAATGCCTCTTGGAGCGAAAAGCAAATCTAAAGGGATCTGGAATGATGTAGTTGAGAAGTGTGAAAAGAAATTAGTTTGCTGGAAGAGTCAATATTTATCCCTGGGAGGAAGACTTACACTAGTTAATAGTGTATTGGATGCTATGCCAACTTACATGATGTCACTTTTTCCTATGCCTGCAAGTGTAGCAAAAAGACTTGATGTCCTGAGAAGAAACTTCATATGGCAAGGTGTCAGTGAGAAGAACAAAATCCATTTGGTCAGATGGGATGTCCTTACAACAGGCAAGAAGGAAGGAGGGATGGGGGTTAGGCATCTGAAAAAACAAAATCATGGTCTGATGATGAAGTGGCTATGGAGGTTCGCCACAACAGAACATTCCTTGTGGAAAAATGTAATTGAGGTAAGGTATGGGAAGGAAGGCAGCTGGACAACCAAATCTGTGAATAGCCCTTATGGGGTTAGCCTGTGGAGGTCCATCAGGAATCTATGGCCAAAATTCAGCAATAGGTCCAGCTTCAAAGTGGGCAATGGTATGAAAACTTCTTTTTGGGAAGACAAATGGCTTGGACAGAGAACCTTGAAGCAGCTATTTCCAGACATTTACAATCTGAACCAACAGCAAGGCTCACTTGTTGGAGAACTGTGGACAGGTCAAGGGTGGAATCTTACTTTCAGGAGACTCCTAAACGACTGGGAAATACAAAGGCTGACAGATTTTTATAGCATCTTAGAACAATTCAAAGGGACTTCCAGCTCTGAGGATAAGGTGTTCTGGCAAGGGGGGAAAGAAGGCAAGTTTTCTGTCAAATCTGCTTATAAAGAGTTTAACCAATCTAATAATCAAATTGGATTTTGGCCGTGGAAGATGATCTGGAAAGTAAAAATTCCATACAAAGTGGCATGTTTCACTTGGCTATTAGCTAGAGAAGCAGTTCTGACACAAGATAATCTACTCAAGAGAGGATATCAACTGGGGTCCAGATGTCACTTATGCAAAGCTCAGGAGGAGACAATCAACCATCTCTTTTTACACTGCAGAATTACGAACCAATTATGGAAGATATTCATCAACCCGAGGAGGATCCGGTGGGTTATGCCAGGGAGAATCAAAGAGGTTCTAACTAGTTGGAAAAGAGATGGGATCATTCCGGTCAGAAGGAGAGATGGAAGATTGTCCCGGCTTGCATACGGTGGACAATATGGAAAGAAAGGAATCAAAGATGCTTCGAGGACAACCATAGTTCAATACCAAAGTTGAAGATGAGCTATTTATTGCTTTTTTATTTTTGGTGTAAACAGGAGTATCTAGAAGAGTGTGAATGTATTTTTGATGTTTTAGACCAATTGTGAGTCTTACTGATGTAGTTCTCCCCTCTGGTAATTTCATTGAAATTACTGGATGGTTACACTGATATAGTGTAACCAATTTTATACTTAATACAAATATGTTACCTTTTCAAAAAAAAAAAAAAAGGTAAACAAGTACGTATTTAGTTGTAGGGTCTTGTACTAAATGTGTCCACTTTAGCAAATACTAAGGACCATTTATGTTGAGAAATATATATGAAGGACCAAAAATAATCTCGTTTATTAAGCTAGTTGCATCTAATCTAATAGCGAAGCAAATAACCCAAAGTGCGGCGTGAGGAGACCATCCCAAATCATGGCTTCAAGCAACTGCTCCAAAGACGAAGACGACTTAGTGAGTTGCCGGACCCGCTCCTTGTTCAAATTCTCTCTCTTCTGCCGACGACAAGGGATGCATTCAAAACATGTATTCTCTAGAAAAGGTGGCGATATCTCTGCACTTCACTTGATAACCTCATTTTCACTCCTAGAGATTTCCGGAAAAAACGACATTTAGTATCCTTTGTTGACTACGTATTAGCTCATTCCATTTCTCCCAAAATTAAAACACTTGAGCTCAACTGCGACTACTTGCAACCTAGTCGTCGTCAACTGAATGAATGTCTTACTTTTGCTGTTGAGAAAAAAGTGGAAAATGTTGTATTCTCGTCAAGTGAGGAGGAGCGCACTTTAGAGTTGCCTAAATCTTTCTGTAGCTGTTCGTCGTTAATAACTTTAGTTTTTTTCAGTTGTTGCTTTGATAGTAACGTGGTCGTAGCGTGGAAGTCTCTAAAGAGCATAAAGTTGGAGGATTCCGTGGTGTTAGAGAACGACCATCTTGTGAACTTACTGTCAGGCTGTCCTGCTTTGGAAACTATGGAATTATATCGGGTTGAGGGATTCAGTCGCCTGGAAATTAAGTCTTCAAATTTAAAGAGACTGAAGTTTAAAGAATATTGGGTTCCTAGTGATGAAAAGGATCATTCCTTGGAAATTATTGCCCCTTATCTTCAGCATTTGGAAATTTCAGGAGATCTTTATGATCTCAAGTGTAGGCTTGTAGATGTGTCCTCTGTCGTTAATGCTAAGCTTACTTTCAACATTACATGTATCAAAAACATCTTGGGCGAAGAATCTGATGAGGAGGAGGAAGATAGTTGTCGCGACTATCATCGAGTACTTAGGACCTTCGTCCATGATAATCTTCAAAAGTTGAGTTGTGCAACTGATCTAACAATTGGAACTTGGTTCACAGAGGTATGTTTTTAACTCAAAGGTCCTGAAATATACTTGTTTGTATTTTTTGTATTTTTGGTCTAAAATTGACATTGTAAAGGATATGTAGATCAGATATTAGACTTCATTAGTACCCTGTGTAGCTAAACAGGGATGGTTTTGCTCAGTTGTACATGTGTAATTCAGCACTCACTTGGTGCTGTCAAGTAATTAAAATTATGTTACCTTTCTAAAAATAACTCAGAAGTCCTTATTTTCTCGGATTGATTTTTATGGGACAGTTGCAGAAGTAAACATTATACAATTAAGAACCCTTTGCACAAATTTCACCAATGCAAATCCTTGTGTCAGCTTTTCCAAGTCGAGTATTTCTTTTATACATGCAAAAGATTGTCTAGAAACGAGGATTGTTGTGCATTGATGTCGCTTTGAGTGTTTGACGGTTGTATTTGTCAAAGCACCATCTCTCTGTTGTGAAGTACTTTCATTTTGTTGTTATTGCTTTCTCTATTCTTTACTAGTTTCATTGGGATTACTGCACCAGGTCATGTGCATATTGCAGTTCAAAGGGGTGCCTATTCCAGAATTGAAATGCAAATATCTAACGCTGGAGTTGCGTATGGAAAAGTTTAATTTTTATGGAGCAGCTGTTCCTTTGCGAGCGTCGCCTTATGTGGAGACGCTCAACATTGATATGGATACTTCTTATGTAACTTCCTAAAACTTTTTCTCTTCTTTTTACATCTGGGAACAGCCATCTTAACATTTTCAAACTATCATCAAGATTTGTTGGTTCTGAAATTTATCACCACACACTTATACTGTGATATCATTTTTTTGTTCACTTTTGTGCAATTTCTATTGGGCTGACCTGCATTTGGTCCTGATTATATTCTGTCTCCAGTTTGATGGTTCCCAGTGCCACTTTGAGTTAAGCTATTTGGCCAAAGCAGATAATGTTGATTTGCAGAGTTGGATTTCATGCTTTGTGTTTCCCAACCTCAAGAATGTTAAGATTGTCAACTCCTCCAGGGTGTGTTTGAAGGATCATACCGAACAGGGCTATGACCAGCTTTTCAAACTTTCAGAATTTGTGTTAAAGAATGCAACTGTCTTGGAGAAGTTCATTGTCATATCAAAGACAAGAGAGTGCAAGAGATGTTCAATGTACTGTATTTCTGCATATTTCTATCAATTGGCTGGGCAATTGTTAGGCTGCCCACGAGCCTCCTCCAATTCTCTGATTATTTTCCAGGAGTGAGTTTTCCAAGACTGCTAGTAGTTTCTTGTCTCAGGATATAAGTAATGTTGCCAGTCGCCTTATTTTAAATTTTTGATAAGCTGCTCGTGCAATCATGAAACTTTAACTTCTCCATGTAACTAATTACTTATTTTGCTTTTGGACTTAGCCTTCTGGCATACCTAATGTTATGGTATCTTGGTTCCTGATTTAAAAAAAATGTATGGTATCTTGGTTTCTCGTGAAGCATTTTTTTGTTGCATTTTTGATGTTGTACATGCACATTGAGATTTTCTTGCAACTTTTGTTTCCCTGCACCAACTAACATGAGCAGATAGATAAGCCACATATTTTATGATAATTAGCGGGCATAAAATGTTGTGTTCTGATACCCTGCTTTCTCAATAGCATCAAGGTCTACGATTGTGACACTTTTAGCTCTTTTCTTGGAGGAAAAAAAAACTCTGTACAAATGGAACTGTAATTTATCGGAATCTGCGAATAGTGAGACGAACTGCTAGTATAGTATAGAATAGAGATGTGGAAACTGTGATAGGCGGCTTATCTGCAATGATCACAGGACTTGGCATAATGGCATTTACCGTTTCTGAAAAGAAATGGTGTATAGAGAAAGAACATGCAAAGGCTGCAGGGCCAAACAACTATCACATTGAATCTAATTTCCTAATTTCTTAATAGGAGGGTGTGGAGGTCGAGGATTAAGGTAGAAGGTTAGTAGGTAGTTTATAGTTGTTCACCGATAGTCTTAGTGCATGCATGTCCCTTCATATTCTTAGATTTTTATTATGTTATGTGGTTTTGTTCGCCTCAGGTATTGTATTCCCTGTTACTATTATTTGGTACCACTTATCCTTTATCTCTCCCTTTTTCTTTTATCTTCCATCTTTCTTCCTTCCTTGCTTTCCTCTTTTTCTTCTGCCCTTCCTGAGCCGAGGGTTTATTGGAAACAGCCTCTCTACCTGCATTAGGTAGGGGTAAGGTCTGCGTACAGACTACCCTCCCCAGACCCCACCTGTTGGGATCATACTGGGTTTGTTGTTGTTGTTGTTGTTGTTGATAATGTGATGACCCTAATGATGAATGTTTGTGAAATATCTGTTTGGCATGTGCTCTGTTATTTAAGCATCATCAATTGTAAAAGCTACCTCAGAAGGAAAACCCAAAAATTGGAAGAACTTGTGATGGCAATATCCTCTGTTCAAGCCAGATAGCAAGAGAAGAGCTTTTTCCTTCATCTTCTAGTACTTTTCGATACTCTTCCACTATTTCCTCTGATATAATCACAGTCCTACAAAGTGGACAAGTTGCTTTTCTATCCTTGTGCATTGATAGCCATTTCTCCAAGTAGTTTTCATGGAATATATGCTTACAAGTTTCCAGCTTTCTCCCCTTGTCTCCATTCTCAAATTCTGATAAGCATATTGCACAATCTTGACCAATGAACCCCACAAGCTTCTTTCTTCTAAACACAAATTTACAACTCTTCTTGTTCAAAACTTCCATATACTTGTAATTCACGATCGCGTATCTACATGAGTTCCAGAAAACAATAATAGCCAGTATCATGAACCTTAGCACTTGAAGAAGCCACAAATAGAACAAATTGGGATACACTTTATAGAAAAGAGAAAGACATCTACTAAGAGCTGCCATTTTAATTACAAGCAGGAGAGATTGTAACTTGTAAGGGCAGAATATATTGTCCAGTAATTATAATAACCCCTTCGTGAGTTGGTAATTTGTTCATCTAACCTGCTGACCATATTGATGAATCCAAACTTAACATTACGTGTAAAAGCATAAAAAATATGAAGCAGAGTTTTAAAAAACATTTCCAGGTTGAGTATTTTATAGAATATGAGGCAACCACTACATATTGAATGCAAAACGTATTATGATACAAGTCCTAAACATTATCAAATCAAATGTCATATTGTTGCTAAACATTATCAAATCAAATGTCATATTGTTGCTTAGATGAATTGGCTTCATTCAATTTTTTCAAGAGATAAGTATGTATATATATATATATATACAGTAGTAACATAAGGTGAAATATATGCGTTAAGTTACAAGTATTGTGTAAATATTTTGTTTGGAAATGGCATTGCGTATTGCCGAGATAGATTAAAAAAGCAATTAGGCGAGAAGATGTTTTGCAAATGTGCTTCATAAAATCGGTTCCTTTTCCATTTTTAGGGATCTCAAAGTTCAACGAGGACTAAAAACACTAACAGAAACAAAAGCTGGAGTAAAATATTTCGATAGCGTGTTCCGTTTAATAATATTTTGAAGTAATTCAAACGAAAGGTGGTTAGTGCTATAGATTTTACTGCAGTTAAGCTATCAACTTTTGTGGAAATTCAAACAATTAGGTAATAAACCTCAATAATGGTCTTCCATTTTCATTTTAAATTTAGGCGACGTATCATTTTTACCAAAACCATTACTGCTAATATTACCTTTTTTTAAAAAAAAAATCAGTTCTCATCTTGCTCGTGGTTTAAAATAATCCATCTATAACAAATGGATTAGTTTAACATTAAATTCCCAACCTCAAAGCTGTAGGCTTTTGCTTAGAAAATTCAGAACAGCCGAAAAGCTTTTGGAATCTCATTTTTCTATTGGCTTCAAGTTGAAATTTTAGCGCAATGTTAGTCCCTTTGATACACGACTTGAAATTTTTGGACTTACTTCAATAGAATTATAACCCTGCTTTCATATCTTTCTTTTTCTTCCGTATAAAGGAAAAATTATTGTATTACTCCTCTATCTTGACTTTTACGTGACATAGTTTGACGACAAAATTGAAATACTATGACAAGTTTAAAACTAGCACAGTTAATCTAATTTTTATCAGTGATAATGTGATGAACCTAACGACAATAATTCATGGAAAATATTTACCCACGACAAAAGTTAACACCAAATCACTTGCATACCATGGTTAAGTGATAAATTGAAGTAAAAACTGAATATATATATATATATATATACACACTAATTAACCATAGTTAAGTAAATGCATACTATATAAATGTCGGGTGTGGATACAGTTTTTCCATGACAACCTCCAAAAGAGTAGCTATTTTGGAGAATGGACAGTCTGGAAGGAGAGGACTTCAAGGTTCTTTGAAGATATAAGCACAAAAGATCAAACTGAACTGCATTCTTCTTTCTAGTTTTTGGTGTAAAGCAGAATATATAGATGACCAAGGTTCAATCATAGAAGTCTCAGACTCCTTCAGAAGAACAAGGAATTTTTGGTTTTTGTCTTAGCCTTTCTTGAAGTAATTTTGGCTCCAGCACAATCTTTGTGCTGATGATTTATTACTATATTGGATTTGTTACCTTAAAAAAAAGAGTTGCAAGAAAATCTCAATGCACATGCACAACAAGCTACCATATCATTTGGTATGCCATAAGGGTTAGAATAGCAATTAGTTACATAAACAAGTTAAAGATTTATGACTGCATGACCAGTTTATCAAAAACTCAATATAAAACAACATTTCTCATATCTTGACAGAGAACTACTAGCAGCCAAGTTATGCAAAGTTCACTCCTGGAAGATAACCAGGAAATTGGTGGAGGATCTTGGGCAACCTAACAATTTCTCAGCCAATCGAACACCTCTTGCACTTTCTTCTTTTTGACATGAGAACAAACTTTTCCAAAACCGTTGCTCTCTTCAACAGAAATTCTGAGAGTTTAAACAGCTTGTCAAAGCCCCAGTTGAAATGATTTTTCAAACACACCCCGGAGGAGATGACAATCTTAACTTTCTTGAGGTTGGGAAACACAAAGCTGGAAATCCAACTCTGCAAATCAATATTATCTCCTCTGGCCAAATATTTTAACTCATACTTGCAGAGGGATTCATCTGACTGGAGACAAATAATATAATCAGTACCAAATGCAGGTCAGCCTAATGAAAATGCACAAATATAAAAACAAACGATTTCACAATAGAAGTGTCTAGTACGGAAAATTTTCAGAATCAACAAATCTTAATGGTACTTGGAAAATGATTATGATGGCTTTCCTAACATAAAGATTCATGGCGTATGTAAAACAAGTAAACAGTGAGCACACGAATCGGTTTCCTTTCGGAGCTCATTTGCTACAATGAAAGCAACACCACTAACGATAATAATGTGAAGCTTTTCAATGAAAGGATATAATTGTATTAACCTTCAGGAACCTCCTGCGGGGGGAGGGGGGGGGGGGTTGTTAAAACATCATAGGATGAATAGATGTGAAAAGGAGAGAAAAAGTTCCAAGAAGTTACATCAGTAGTATCCATGTCTATGTTGAGTGTCTCCACAAAAGGTGAGGCTCGCAAAAAGCCAACTACTCCATACAAGTTAAACTTTTTCATATGCAACTCTAGGGTCAGATGTTTGCATTTTGATACTGGAATTAGCAACCCTTTGAACTGGAACATGCACAGGACCTGGTGCAGCAATCCCAACCAAAGTAGTAAAGAATGAAAAAAAGCAATAACAACAAAAAGAATGTACTCCACAGTCCACATCAGAGTGAATCGAACCGTCTAAACACTCTATGCTACATCAATGTACTAATATCCCGGTTTGTACAAAACAATCAGAGAAAATAAGGACTTTTGAGTTAAAAACAAACCTCTGTGAACCAAGTCCCGATTGTTAGCTCCGTTGCACAACTCACCTTTTGAAGATTATCTTGTACGAGGGTCCTAAGAAGTTGATGATAATCACGACAACTGTCTTCCTCTATATTAAAATGTTCAAGAAGTTCAAACTTGATGTCTTTGATACACTTAAGGTTGAAAGTGAGGCAGGCATTTAACAAGGAGGACACATCTACTAGCCTGCACTTGAGATCATAAAGATCTCCTGAAATCTCCAAATGCTGAAGATACGGAGCAATAATTTCCAAGGAATGATCACTTCTATCATTAGCAATCCAATAACCTTTCAAATTCAGTGTCTTTAATTTGAAGGAATTAATTTCTAGGCGACTAAAACCCGCAACCAAAGATAATTCTAAAGTTTCCAAAGAAGGACATCCAGACAGTAAGTTCACAATATGGTCCTCAGATAACAGAAAAAACTCCAACTTTAGGCTCTTTAAAGACTTCCACGCTATGACCGCATCACGACTAAAGCAACAAAATATAAAATCTAAATTTATCAACGACGAACATGTACCGAAAGATTCAGGCCAAGTGCAAGTGCTATCATCATCAGACCAGAAAACAACATTTTCCACTTTTTTCTCAACAGCAAAACTAAGACATCGACTGATTTGCGACAGGTGTTCATCCAGGATACTACTATCTGACCAGTTTACATACGTGTCACTGCAGTCGAGCTCCAATTTTTTTTATTTTGGGAGAAAGGGAATGGGCTAATACATAGTCAGCAAAGGATACCGGGTTTTCTGCTTTAAGGTAATCTCTACAATTGAAACTGAACTTATCAACTAAAGTAGAGAGATAGCGCCACCTATACATGTTGCGAATGCATCCTTTGTCGGCAAAAGAGAGAGAATTTGAACTAGGAGCGACTCCGGCAACTCACTGAGTCGGTCTAGGGTTTCTTCAACTTCAGTCTCTTTCTGTTTCTTCGACGGTGGAGTAATTGTCAAATTACTACTTCTAAACTCGTCGTCTCTGCTGGATTCGCCGGAAGTCATGGTTTTGGTACCAAACGGATTGGGAAATTGGAATCGTCAGTTGAAGCAAACACTTTAAGGGTTTCTTTTGTAAATAAATACATTTGACAATCTGACCCGAATATAAGCTCTTTTTCCGAAATACATCATTTTTGGAATTAGGACTGATGCGAATTATTCCAAGAGAAATGAAGTACGTACAAAATAAGGTTTTAATTTTTATCTACTTACTGTGTAGACAAAATTATTACTCCATACTCCTTCCCTTTACGTGAAGGGTGAACCTATTTTTTAAAGGTCCGCATAAAAAATAATGATTCCTTTTTATATTTGTAAACAATTTATCTTTATGCACTGATTTATAGTCACACAAAATATATGTGCATCATTTTACTTCATAAGTTTAAAAATCTTTTTTTTTCTTAAACTTCGTGACTAATTAAATAAATTAATAAATTAAAACGGAGGGAGTAGTACATACTTAAGAAACAAAAGTAGGTAAATTAGCAAGATAAATAAGAGGCACTAGCAGTAAATAATATGCTACAATTAGTAAAATGTAAAAGCAAATAATTATAGTGGTAGAATACAAAATGTTAAATAAGCTGAACGCCAAGATAAATTGTTTAAATAAAAAATAGTGCTAAGCTTAGAGATCCGTCTATTATTTGACCAAAAGCATTCAATGAACAGAACTTCTTAATCTATTTAACACCAAAGGAATTGTGACATTAGTAATCAGATTATTAGTAGGGAACATAAGGCCATTAAATGACCAAAAGATCCATTCTTTGTGCTGTCTAAGATCTATATATTAAATGTCATAGTTGTTCTTTTTCTTTGTTCATTATGTTCTTTGATACTTTCTAAAGCATGCGCACAGTGGTAGAAGAGTCTTAAGTGCTTCAACAATTTTGGGGTTTTGACACAGTTACCCACAAAAACAAAATTATTTATCCTTGTCTACTCATTTGCTTTTCTACCCATAAATTAATTATATTTCCTACCCATAGTAGGTTTTGTGGAGAATTTTTTCTTTATTCTCCAATTCTTTTTTATTTCTATGCTTATTTTCTTTTCTTTTTTCTTTTTTTTCCTTTTCTCCTTTTCTTTTTTCTCGTTTTCTTCTTATTTTTTCCTCTTTTCCTTTTCTAATTTCATTTAACTTCTTTTTTTTATATTCTTTTTCTCTTCATAATCTAATTTCATTTACTGTTTTCACTATATTTTATTATTCTTTTTTTTATATTATTACTAAAGAAAAATCAAATTGTGTACCATTTAAATGTAGCTAATACAACCAAAAAAATATTAACTAACATATGATACTAGTATAGTATATAGCTATACCAACAAGGTATACAATTGTACGCAATGATTTAAAAAAAAATTAATTCAATTATTAAACTAAAATAATATCAGTTGTCAATAAAAACTTTAAAAAATTCTAAAAGGATCTAATTGTAAGAGTATACCGTCACATCATATAGCATACTGTAATTTTTTTTTTGCATTTTCAATTTGCCCCTCACGCTGGGTAAAATCTTAAAACAAATTAAAAGGGAAAAGGTAGGTGAATTTACGGGTAATAAGTATACTATTATAGTATATTGTATACTATTACAGCATATTGTTACAGTATCTTGCATATTATTACAGTATACCATAACAATATATTGTATACTATAATAGTATACTGTTGCAGTATAACTATATACTCCTATAGTATATTAGTATACCGTAGCGGTATACTGTTTTGTAAACTATAATAGTGTACTGTTGCAGTATAGCTATATACTCCTACAACATATTGTATACCGTAGCGGTATACTGTAGCTGTGTTCTTCTTCGATTTTCAACTAAAAATTTCGATCTCAATCACCTCAAATCAGGTCCAAATGCTATCAAATTTCAGTATGAACTTCCAGAAGGTACTACAAGCAATATTTAACGGCACCCACTTTGAATCAAATAAGAAATCTTCAAAAATAAAATTGAACTTCAAGCCCAACAATGGTGGATATTCAAATATACACAAAAATTTAAATTTGGGAAGCTTACTCGAAGATACTATAAGCAATATTTTATAGCACCACATCGAATCAAACAATAAATCTTCAAAAAAATTATTTTCTTCCTTAAAACTTTACTATAACATATAAACTTGTTATCAGATGGGGCGATTTAGAAGGAGAAGATATTGTTTCCCATGATTGATAAATGCAAAACTCCTAGTAGTTTTGTCAAAATGCACAGAATTTGTACGTAGTAGTAGTAGTAATGGTGTGAGTTATTTCACTTTTTATACCTGAAATTAAAGATGAATAGAAGAAATTGGTTTTGGGGAACTCGGTTACTAGTGAGACAGAGAAGATGTGATGGAAACTTTATAGTAATTGAGAGAAGCTGATAAATCGAAACTGACTTGTCAACAAATAATAAAAGAATTAAAGGACAGAGAGGACTCTGACGCTCTTCACACTCACCTATGCAGAACGTACGATAAGATTCTAGTGGTGTGAGACATAACTAGCGGGTAAATAGTTTGGGGAGTATGGGTAGGAGTAGTAAATAGTTTGGGTCTGGGCATTAAAGGGTAAATAGTTTGGAATTAATGGGTATAAAGTGAGATTTTCTCAACAAAATTTTTTGACACTTTAATACATTATTGTATCAGACCACTAATCTGCCTTTATAAACATATTTATTAATGTAATATCTTTTCAAATAAATTGTTTCAATCTTATACAGATTATTCAAAACTTAATTTACCAAAACAAGGGGATAAAAGATACCAGTAATTCTTTTATCAAGGTCGTTCCACAAATTTTTACGACCCCTAGAGTAAGCTATTTCAAATTTCAACCGACAAAAAATTTGTGCCTGATAAATGAAACTTCCAGCTGAATCAAGCAGATGTACAATATGACCTCAATCACTATTGTACGATAAACTTAGCAACCGTAAACATTAGGTACTTCATAAGGTTAAGATAACAGGAACAAACAGTTAGTAGTTACATAGACAAGTTCAAGATTTTCATCACCAGTAATTACAAAAACTAAATATAAGGTAACATTACTGGTAAACTGAACAGAAATCTACTTGCATTCTTTCTTTTCTAGTATACCTTTTTTTAATCTACTTGCAAGTAGCAATCTAATAACAGAAAGCTCACTCCTGGAGAACCATAATTACAGAGTTGGCAGAGGATCTAGGGCAAGTTAACAATTTCTCAGCCAGTCGAATTAAGTATTGGGACGCCCAACAGCTCTCCCACTCTCTTCTCTTTGATATGATAACCAACTTCTCCAAAACCTTTGCATTCTTTAACAGAAATTCTGAAAGTTTGAAAAGCTTGTCAAAGCAGCATTCTAAATGATCCTTCAAGTATGTTAAGGAGATAACAATCTTAACATTCTTGAGGTTGGGAAACTCAAAGCTTGAAGTCCAGCTCTGCAAATCAATAGATTCTCCTTTGGCTGAATATCTTAACCCAAAGTTGCAACGGGCAATATTAAACTGGAGACAGAGAATATAATCAACACAAAATGCAGGCGAGCCGAATAAAATTGCAGAAAGCTGACAAAAAAATATTTCACAGTAGAAAGGTCTGGTACAAAAAAGATCTGAATCAAACCAATAATATGGTACTGGGAAATGATTCAGATGGCTATTCCTGTGATAAAAAAATTATGGCTTAGGTAACCCAAGCAAAGACTGATAGTGCAACAATCCTTTTCGTTCTGGAGCTCATTTGCCACGAAGCAAGCAACAACAACGAACGTATTAAAGTGTAGCTTTACAGTGACAAAAACGAAGCTTCTCACTGATAATTAAAGATGTGTTCTGACCTACTGTAGTAGGTTAACACCCTCCCCATTTTTTATTTCTCTAAAATACCGTTACGGTTCTTACTGCCACTTCATTATCTAACTACCTAAGGAACTTTTTGGTCTTCTCCACAAAAAAGTCTATATACTAAATAAGTCCTGTTCTGTAAGCCAGGCCATTCAATCCTTTACTCTTCACCAATGAATCGGGAACCCCCCCCCCCCCCCCCAACCTCTTTTTAATTGAATAAAGACAGAAAGGGACTGCCCCCAGCGAGATTTGAACTCAAGCCTGTCAGCGCACTATGATTGACCACTGGACCGCTTCCCTCATTGCTTGAAGAAATAGCAACAGCATAGAAAAATAAAAATGGGGAGGGTACCTACCTACCACTCTCATGTAGTAGGTTAGCAAAACCCATACAATAAAGAGAGGAAATTCCAGGAAGTTACCTTAGCAGTAGCAAAGTCTATGTTGAGTGTCTCCACATGACGAAAGGCTCGCAAAAGGCCAGCTACTCCAAACAAATTAAACTTTTCCAGATGCAACTCCTCTAATGTTAGATATTTGCATTTTACTTCAGGAATATGCACCCCTTTGAACTGCAACATGCACATAACCTGGTGCAGTAATTCCAATGGAACTAGTAAAGACTGGAGAAAGCAACAACAACAAAAAGAAAGTTCTCCACCGCAGAGACACAACGCTGGGACGAATCAAACCATCTAAAATATTCTTTTATCTACCACTCTGCTTAAAAAAAGAACCATCTAAACACTTCAAGCTTTATCAATGTACAAAATATTCTGGTTTCTAGATGTATCTTTTGGAGGCACGATAAAATTCTAAAAGTTGACAAACAGATTGCAAAAAGGCCCACGAGTTTCTGTAATTGATCATGTTGCATTAGTGAAGTTTATGCAAAAGTTCTTAATTATATAATGTTCTACATTCTGCAAAAGTCTACTAAATATCAATCAGAGAAAATAAGGACTTCCGAGTTAGAAACAAACCTCTATAAACCAATTTCCTATTGTTAGCTCAGATGCACATCTCAACTTTTGAAGATAATCTCGGACGAGGATCCCAAAAAATTGATGTGAATCACGACAATTGTCTTCCTCGTCATCAGCATCTTCTTCAAGAAGAGCTTGGCCATCTTTGATACAGTGAGTATGGAAAGTAAGAATAGCAGTAACCAAGGAGGAAACATCTACAAGCCTACATTTGAGATGAACTCCTGAAATCTCTAAATGATGAAGATATGGGGCAACAATTTCCAAGGTTGGATCACGTCCATCACTAGGAAACGTAAAACCTTTCAAATACAGTCTCTTCAAATTTAAAGAATTAATTTCCACTCGAAGAAATCCTCCAACTGAATCAAATTCCATCGTTTCTAAAGCAGGACAGCCTGACAGTAAGTTTGCAATATCCTCATCGGATAACACCAAATACTCCAACTTTATGCTCTTTAAAGAATTCCACTTTATGACGGCTCCAGAATCAAAGCAATAAAATGTCAAATGTAATGTTACCAACGAGGAACAGGTGTAGAAAGATTCAGGCAATGTGCAACCGTTTCTATTCGAATTTGACCAGTACACAAAATCTTCCACTTTTTTTTCAACAGCAAAACTAAGCCACTGGCTCATATGCGATTTGTACCGAGACAGGTGACTGCAGTCGAGCTTTAATCTTTTTATTTTGGAAGAAACAAAATGAGCTATCACATAGTCAATAAAGGATACGAAATCGCTTGTTTTCCGGTAACTTGTACGAGTGAAATTGAGGTTATCAACTGAAGCCCAGAGGTAGCGCCACCTTTTAGAAAGAATACAGGTTTTGAATGCATCCTTTGTCGTAGGCAAAAGAGAGAGAATTTGAGCTAGCAGTGAGTCCGGCAACTGACTAATACGATCTAGGGTTTTGGTCACGCTCAACTTTTGTTTCTTCAAAGATCGATGATTTATCAAATTACTACTACTACTAGTTGTAAAGCCGTCATTTTGGCTGGAGTCGCCGGAAGAATCTTGGCTGGAGTCGCAGGCGGAATCTAGGCTGGAGTCGCCGGAAGAATCTTGGCTGGAGTCGCCGGAAGAAGCCATGATATTAATTTTGGGTCCAAAAGGGTTTGAATCGTCTCCTCGCTCTAATACGAGTAAATTCTTTATATGGCCGCGAGAAGTTTTATTTTGTGTGAGTTGTACCAGGTTATTTTTGTCTTATAAATTTGTGGACCCCAATTTACACTTTTAGGTCCACAGAAATTTGAGTTGATAAAACTGTGAGACAAAAAGGTTACTTCATACAACTAGTGTCAGTTGTATGAGACACAAAGTAAAATTTTCCATATAGCCACCTATCTTATAGGAATATTCTATCAGAATCATTTTTATTTATTTGAAATAATAAAATCACTTAACTATTGAATTTTGACTCAAAAAAGCTACACATATTTGAGTCTCGTCACTATTGAGCTCCGATTAAATCCGAATTCTCCCCGGAAAGTTCCATATAATGATAAAGCGCTCCTTATTAAAGACAACTTTATACTGACTCTTTCATATTGCACCACTGCTGAGATTGGACTATTCCCTACCGAACGACATAAACTCTTTAACGGGTCGAACCAGAAAACTAAGGACCCATCTGGGCATAGATTTTGTCAAATTTTTTTTTTGGCAAATGCATTTTTGTTCATAAATTTTATTAATATTTTGGAAAATTCCCAAAAGCCAAACTAGTTTTGGCCCAAAATATTACTATTACATTTTTAAAAATTGCCCCAAACTTCTGTATTTTATAAAAAAAAAAAACCACTATTTATTATTTAACAATGATGCTTCGTCTTCTCGGTCATCTGATAGTGTATTATATAGTTCATTATAAAAACGATAATTTGTACCAAATTTATTTATGTTCAGGATTATGTTTTGTGATATGATAATGAATTTTATTGATGAAGGTATTGTTGGGTATTTGTGATAGTTTTTAGAACTTGTAGGTATAAGTCCTGTTTCACGTTTTTCAAAAAAATAAAAAAGTAAATATGTTTGAAAACTGATATCCAATCATCTTCAAACCAGATTTCATTCAAATCAAATTTTTCAAAACATATTCGGGAATCTATGGCCAAACGCTAGTGTTGCAGAACGTCCTCCTCACACAAACAGATACAATCATACAATGGAAGACGGATACTGACGTGATAATTCTAGTACATTGAGACGTCAAAGTCTAGCGCTCAAATCAATATTATCTTCATAGAATAAAATATATTGAAAGAGTGTTCAAAATAAAATATTTTAGCATATGATAATTTTCTTTGTTGTAAATAAAGGAAATATTATTACTAATTGGTTACTGTTACATACTTTGACTTGCCTGCGATATATGAAGTAGTCATATATAGATTTACAGAAAGAAGTCATTACATAAAATTATTACAAAATGGGATCATAGGTTAAATAGGTTTATTATTAGAAAATGAAATTTTAATGTGACATGACATGCCAAATGTATGATATTTATTTTGTGAGTCAAAATAAAATAGTTAAGTGACTTTATTGTCTGATCTTAAAAGAAACAAAAATAACTTTGATAAAATATTCTTATAAGTTGGGTGACTATCCAAGAAATTTACTCAAACTAATACCACAAAAATGTGAACCTAATTTTTATATGCTTACCATGGAAGAAAACTAGTACTCCGTAGTATATTGATAGGTTCATTAAGAAACAAAAGCAGGTAAGTTAGTAACATAAAAAAGAGGGCACTAGTAGTAAATAATATGCTACGATCCGTTAAATTTACACCAATTAATTATAGTGATCGGAAACCAAAACATGTTATTCAATACGATAAACTGTCAAAATAGAAATTAGTGCAAAATTTAGAGATGCCTTGTGAAGAAAAGTAAAGTAACACAAAAACAAAGCAATGTTCTCAATAAGCAAAAAAAGCAAAAAAAAAAAAAAAAAAAAAAAGAAAAAAAAATCATTACAAAGATACAACAACAACCACAACAAATCCAGTATAATCTCACATGTGGGGTCTGGGGAGGGTAGTGTGTACGCAAACCTTATCCCTACCTGAAGAGGTAGAGAGGTTGTTTCCAATAGACCCTCGGCTCGAGAAAATGTGGCAAGGAAAAAAAGGGATGGAGAAGAAGAAAGAGGGGACAATAAGGAAAAAGGGAAGGAAAAAAGGAACAAAATGTAGCATAAAATAGTAACAGTCGAGGAGCAACAATTTCCAGTAGCAGTTTTTTAAACAAAAACAACAATGGACGTGGTAGCTAAGTAAACAATCTAAAAGAAAGTATCTCTCAACCAACCACGAGAATACTACTAGTACTACTGGTAAACCTAGGAGAAAGTCACATCTACCTGTCAACCCACCACCTTAATCCTCGACCTCCATACCTTCCTATCGCTAGTCATGTCCTCAGTTAGGTGAAGCACCAATATGTCCTGCTTAATCACCTCTCCCCAATATTTTTTTTGGCCTACCCCTGGCTTTCCTCAGGCCCGCCATGTTCAACCTCTCACACCTCCTGACCGGGGCATCTATGTCTCTCCTCCTCACATGCCCAAACCATCGCAGTCTTGATTCCCACAACTTGTCCTCCACGAATGCCACTCCCACCTTGTCCGTAATAACTTAATTCCTAATATTGTCTTTCCTGGTATGTCCACACATCCATCTCAACATCCTCATATCAACTACGCTCATCTTCTGGACATGTAACTTCTTGACGGGCCAACACTCAGCCCTATATAACATAGCCGGTCTAACCACTACCCTATAGAATTTGCCCTCAAGTCTAGGCGGCACATTCTTGTCGCATAAAACTCCCGAATCTAGCCTCCATATCATCCAACCCGCTCCACTACGATGAGTAACCTCCTCGTCAATCTCCCCGTCGCCTTGGATTATAGACTCAAGATACTTGAAACTATCCCAAAAAGATGACTTGAGTATCAATCTTTAATTCCACTTCTTCTTCATGCCTCTCGACACTGAACTTGGTCTCCAAGTATTCAGTTTTTGACCTACTCAACTTGAAACATTTGGACTCCAGCGTCTGTCGCCACACTCCAACCTAGCGTTAACACCCACTATAAAAAGGTTTTTTTTTCATTCAACATTCCGTGGATCAGGCCTCAAAAATCTATGCTTTCATTGAATGTATAACCAGCTTGCTTTATACTGGACAAGGGCTCTTGGTACTTAATTTATTTACTGTTACTCTGTTAGTATCAAACTTTCTGTTTGACTCAAAAGATATTAAAACCTTTTTGAACAAATCAATCAAAGAAGATGAAGGAGCAAATCTTAGTCAAGGCTAATAACCTCCAGGTCATTCTCATTGATATTTCATATTTCCTCATTCATTAATCGATGAAGATCATTCATTCTTATCTTCTATGGGAAAGCCCCTCTTTTCTAAGAAAATTACAGAGGAGAGACCAGAGAGAGAAAAAAGCCCCCCTTTCTTGAGAGACTCCTCCCCTATATATAGTTATGAAATTCTCACTATAGGTCAATACAAACTCGCACGACGTCCGCATTCGTCGTTCCCTGAGCGTCGTTCTCTGTCACGGCGGGCATTGTAAGTATGGGGTTACGGAGCAAACCGTGTCGTCCTTCACCATCTTGTTGCTTAGATGGGATCTTGGTCAAGCCGACTGCAGCAATCAGATTTTGACCAATACAGTTAGTCCCTCCATCTACCGGGGTCGCCTCTTGTCGGGCCTGGTAGGCGGATTTATGGTCGTCACATATCTAAGAGAAATCTGATCACCTACCCTTTTGGTATGGTCTTTAGATTCTAGCAATATGACGGCGTCTTTTTGATACCCTCGAACCGTTTTGGTCGTTTCAGAACCTGAACATCGTTTGTCTTGAAGCGTCATTTATGGTTATTTGCCTGTCACGACCCCAAACCGGCCCAGTCGTGATGGCGCCTCTCGTGAAGACAAGGCCAGCCGACACAACACTCACATTAACCTTTTAATCACTAAGAGTTATTTTTAAGCCTTTAATTAAATAATATTTCATAATATAAGTCTGAAAGAACAATGCGAAATTAATATACAAGCCTGACATCGGGGTGTCACTAGTCATGAGCATCTATCAAGATCTGAGTACAACAAAATCTAAATATGTACTAAATACAGTAATAGAAATGAAAGGAAGGAAACGGTGCTGCGAACGTCGTGCAGCCACCTTGCTAACTCTGATGACTCCGCGTCTGAGCAATCAACACCCGCTACCGGGTTCCGAAATACCTGAATCTGCACACGAGGTGCAGGGAGTAATGTGAGTACTCCAACCCAGTAAGTAATAAGAGTAAATAAAGACTGAGCAGTAGGAAACAATGAATCCACATTTATGATAAACTTAATAAGCACAACAGGCTTTCAATTCAGAATACGAGTCAATCGTCTCATTTAAAATTTAGCTTTTTGGTAAAAATCATTTAAAATACCTTCCAGCAATTTCAGTAGGGGTTAAATACCATTTGTAATAAAAGAGATGAAAACCATAATCGGCCCCTCGGGCAAAACATATTCCGTAAAATAGCCCCTCGGCCAAAACAATATTCATAAACACTTCATAACTTGAAAATCTCAGCGGAAAATAACCAATGCCAAATCAGTGATTAAATTTTGAACATCTCATAAACCCTAGTTTGAGTGAAAATTGTTTTAAAACATTTATCTAATATTTTCGACAGAGGCTCAGTATAAATATGAGTAAAAACAGTCATTAAATCAACACATTCAGTAGAAACTCGCTCTAAAGAGAAGTGAAAATCAATAAGTTCATAATCAGGCCCCTCAGGCAAACATCACTCATGTACATGTATGTATCTATCGCCCCTCGGGCTAGTCTCTCCGTCCCTCATGACTCAACTCCTACCAATCAGCGCTCACACTCAGCAGTCACGCTCAATAGGTACCATATAGTAACCGCTGCGGCGTGCAGCCCGATCCATATATCGCTGCGGCGTGCAGCCCGATCCATATATCTCGTCGATGGCGCTCACTGGGGGTGTGCAGACTCCGGAGGGGCTCCTACAGCCCAAGCGCTATATCGCTGCGGCGTGCAGCCCGATCCAACATATCGCTGCGGCGTGCAGCCCGATCCATATAAGTATC